AATTTCTATTTGAAACTCTAAACTTCAGTGAGTTGGAAAACTGAATTCAGTGTAGAAGTTCTTTTACTAGTGGAGAGGAATAAAACAAAATATTTGTCTTTGTAACACCTGCATTTGTACAGGTGGATGTGTATTTATATATCTGTGATGAGCCAGTGTTTAGTTCCAGGACTTCACAGAACGCTGGGGAAATCTGAGCAGGGGAAATGAATGACTCAAGCCCTCAGGCCTTCCAGGAACTTACCCACACAGCGGGGTTCTGGACCGTCCCACTGGGCGTTTACTTGGCAGGTCAGCTTAGTACTTCCCTCTAGTCTGTACCCTTCCTCACAGGTAACCAAACATGTCGTTCTGTAAGACATTTCCCTTGTAGAACAGCTGATATGGCCATGTTTGGGCTGGCGGAGGTGGGAGCATGTTTTCACTGTATAACATGAAAACAATTAGATCACATTTTACTAAATAAGGGCAAAAATAGTAATTATAAGTTTAATAATATCTGAACATTGCAAATGAGAAAACATTCTTTTCTTAAAATAGCAAATAATAAATAACATACCACCATTTTTTGATAGGTGATGGGACAATCTAAAGTCTACCTTTCATCAAATGCATTGCCCAAACAATATCACTGCCCACAGCCCTCTGGGTCTATCCCTAAATGGAAGGTGAGGGTTGTAGATTGGAAGTGGTTGACAAAGGAGATACCTGAAGCCTTCAGCCGGGTCTTTGCTGTGACTTTCCAGGTGGTATTTCAACAAAAACAAAGTGTCTTCTCTAGGACAGAGTTTTCAGGTTCACGATCAACTTGGTTTTCAGACCTCTTGGGCATATTCTGGGCCTTTTGGTGGTGCCAGCCTTGGCAAAGCTGCCCAACTTCTTCAAGCATTCAGCTTCCTGCTTTCTGGTTCTTTTTGCTTTTTCACTCTCTTCTTCCCACAAATCTTCCTGCAGATCCTAATTCATGCTGCTAATCTTGACTTATGCATTAACATTGGTTGGTTTGTTTTTGCTGCCGTGATAGAGGCTTCTAGTTGCCCACCCCAAAGCTGTACTCCCCAGTTTTACTCAGCATGGTAATATTCCCATCTAGATTACAAGTCCCTACCTCCATGGCAATGAGAGCCAATGAGATGCAGATGGTATTGTGTGGGATGTCTCAGAAAGCTTTTGAAAGGAGGGACTGTCTTTGCCTTCTCTTCATTCAAAGAGTATGTCTTTGCCTTCTCTTCATTCTTCTTTCTCCCCTAATACAGACATGAAGAATGGTAGCCCAGCACACCACAGTGGGAGTATATCATGCAATAGGAAAATATCATACACCAAGATGGTAGAACAAAAAAGGAAAGAGAGCCCGAATCTCTGATAACAATGGAGCTATTACACCAATGTTGGATTATGTACTTCTGTCTTTCATTTAGTTGAGAGAAAAAATGAACTCTTAATTGGCTTACAATGTTGTTATTTGGGTCCTTGATACCAGCAGGTGTACACAATTCCTCATTTCTTCTGCTCAGCATCCATTCACTTTTCTTTTGCTGATTTTCTAAGGAAAGATCTTTCCCCATTTTCAGCTCATGGGATTTGTGTGTGCTTCACCCATGCTGCGACCTAGGTCTCAGACGTGAGCAGATACAACTCATGATATGGCTCCTTTTTCCACTCTCCTCAAATACACCACAAGAGAGCAGCTGGAAGGGTACTCACTAAACCCTTCGTGAAATGCCTTCGTGAAAATGCCTTGGTGAAAATGCCTTCGTGCCTCAGCCAGCCTTAATGCCACCAACAGTGGAAGTACTATGGGGTGCCTTGAGAAACCTGCGTTTCCCAGTTCTGACTCTGATCTTAACGCTGTATTGGAGAAGCTACAGGCAGGTGCTCAGACCCCCCTCCTTTGCAAGTCACCAAGTGATGTCCGCGTTGTGTGTTCCTCCTGGGAAGATTTCCCCACTGCCCAGCCCACCCAACCCCCATAGTGTGTTTTCAAGTGTATTTCTATTAGTCTCCTCTTGCCCCATATTCCTGTTGATGGCAATCTCCTAGGATGCCTAGTCACCCTTCATTTTCCAGGGTTGCCCCCATGCAGCTATGACCCAATTTAATGTTGCACCTGCCCCCTGGAATAATTATTTGGCTTCAGTAAATTCTCATATATACCGAACTTCCCTTTTGAACTTTTTCTTCCCTGCTTATCCTAATCAAAACCTTATTGCCTCCTACAGACAGCCTGCAGGTGAGGACAGTATCTTTGTGGCTCCTCATTGCCTTTCCAGATCATTCTGTCTTCCTCCTTCCTGAAAACTTCCAGCTCCATTGAGTATTAAGTTATACGTCTAACATCTTTTTTTACAGTTCTCTCTCCCTCCCTCTCTCTCACACATACCCCTTAGTGATTTCCTTATCTATGTAAATGATGATTCCAGTACCCTGGAGTCTTATTTTTGACCTCTTCTTCTATGAGAACCCCATCCTTCACCTACCTCATTCTCCACCGTTGCCATGTCCTTTAGAGCTCACCACCACCCATTCAAGTGTCTCACTCTCTGACAATCACCTCCTGTCTCCCCAGATCACTGCTTCCCATGCGTTGACCCCATTGATATCTACACTCTATAGGAGCCTCTGAACTACTGCATGCTCCTCTTTAGAGAAAAAATCATCCCTAAATAATGGGTACTCTCCTACATTCTTTCCCCTCTAGCTTAGATCCTCTCTGATCATAGTTTCCAATGAAGGGAAGAGGGAGAGGAATAGAGAAGAAAGGAAAAGTAAAGGGAGAGTAAAGGGAGGAGGAAGGAAAAAAAGAGAAAGAGGGGAAATGGAGGTGAAAGGGAGGAGAAGTAAGGGAGGGAAGGAGGGGAAGGAAAGGAAGGAGGGGGAAGAAGAATGCAGGGAGAAGGGAATAAGTCAGAGACTAGTGGGAGAGGAAGAAAAAAGGGGGAGGGGGAGAAGGGAATGGGGAGACTGTCCAGACCCATGGAGAATGTGCTTCTCTCAGTCAGATGGCACGTAAGCTCCAGTCACCCATGGAGATCGGAGAGGAAAAGACAGTGGCTGTCTGCTGAATACACCAAAAAATGGGCACATGTATACAAATATTCATTTTGACAGTTTATAGATCTAATCCTACAGACGTCAGGCATTTTACAAAAGCTAACAAACCAACCAAACAATGCCACAAAAGAACCAAGTTCAGTCTCCTCTCCGCCCTTCCGAGACATGAGGGCCAAAAGCCCAGACAGCACAGCGTTCTCTCAAGATGTTTGAACAAAATACTTGAGACTGCAGAACTTTGCTGGGACTCTGGGTGAGATGCAGTTTGCATTCTTCTACTTTTCTGCATTTGCCAGTTTTTCATACCAGGCACAAACCTATTTATTATGAATACTGAACTTCAACGTAACAGGAAAGGAAGCTGGAGCAAATTATTCAAGTACATATTCAACTGACATCATTGACAGAATCTGTTCTGCAGGAACCTATTCAAATTATATCAGTCAGCAGAGCATAAATATTGAGTGTGTTAAATATAAGTTGGCTCCTCATTACTCCTTAGAGAAAATTCCAGAATTAGATTAGAGGTTAAACCATAAGCCCTGGCCTCGTCTATCCCTCAGATGGTTTGAACTCAAATCAACTATGAATAGAAAGTTAATAGAAATATTTGCTTTCCACATTTTAATTTTTATTGCACGTGCCTGTCGTGCAAATAGAATCTGTACTATCTCCATTACGTGGACAGAAATATCGTGCCTCCTGCGTGCTGACTTTTATTGGGTGTGTTCATCATTGATAGCGTGGTACCAAGTGCCAGGTGAATAGATGAATTCTGATGTATAAAATCTGGAAAACCATATTAAACAACTGTTTTGGCTTCCATTAACCGCTGAAAAGACTCCAGCTTTCCAAACCCAAGACAAAAATGGAATTGCAGCATTTCTCAAGAGTATTGATAAGAAATTAGCGTTGCTATCTTATACAGATATAAATGACAGTGCTTTGCAAATGTTGGTTTTAATAAATTTTCATTGTTCCCCAGGGAAAACGAAGCATTTGCAACAATCCCTACTGAGTCCTTAAACATGTAATACTTTTTTGTTCAAGAATGATGACGAATCATCATTTTTAATAATACTGCACTTGCCTTATTATTTTTAGCTTAAATTGTTTTTTCATTTCAACAAGCTAAAAAATCCTGCAGTTCATGCTGGATGAACTTACATTCATGTTAAAGCAATTCCTAAATATTTATTTAGTCTTTTTGGGAAACAGCAACTTAGTCTTTTAAGCAGCAGACAATAAGAGCCTACTCTGGTAAAGGAGGTGG